TTGGTTAGCTATTTTTAACAGTGAATATATATTCATAAACAAATGAACCTCACTTTTTCTTCATTTTCATCTGGTTTTGGAATTAAGGTTGTATTAAACTTAAATTCTATTTTGTCAAGGGATGCCTGGGTGGCTCAGTCGGTTAAGCATCTGCCTTTAGCTCAGGTCATGATCCAAGGGTCCTGGGATTGAGCCCCACGTCGGGTTCCCTGCTGAGCAGGAAGTCTGCTTCTCCCTCTGTCCTTGCTCCCACTCTTGTTCTCTCTCTCTCAAATAAATAAAATCTTTTTAAAAATTCCAATTCCTCCCTGGTTTTTTGGTTCGTATTTGTCATATATATATATATATATATACATATACATATATATATATTTGGTAACAACTTCATTTGGGTAAAATTCACATGTAATTCATTTACTCAAAGTGTACAATACAATGGTTTTTATTATATTCAGAGTTGTGCAACTATAATCACCATCAATTTGCATCACCCCCATACCCCCAAACATCCACAAACCCTCCCATTCCCCTCCCACCTCCCAGCCTTCGGTAACCACTGATACATGTTCTTTTGTTGTTGTTCTTCTTCTTTATAGACTTGACTATTCTGGACTTTTGATGTATACGGGATCATACAGGGCAGTCTTTTGTGGCTATTTTTACTTAGTATGCTTTCAAGATTAATCTGAGTTGTAGCATGAATTAGCACTTCCTTTCTTCTTATGGCTGAATAATATTCCATTGTTTGAATATACCATAATCTACCCCTCCAACAATTGATGATTATTTTATTGTTCCCACCTTTTGGCTATTATGAATAATGCCATTATGAGCACTCATGTACAATTTTTTATATGGACTTACGCTTTCAATTCTCTTCAGCATATACCTAATTTGGAACCGCTGGGTCAAACAGCAACTGTTAGAGGAATTGCCAGACTGTAGCTATGCTATTTTACATTCTTAACAGCAGAGCAGTGTATAAAACTTCCAATTTCCAACCTCACCAAGATTTTTTTTTTTTTTTTTTAATAGCCATCCCAGTGTGTGTGAAGTGGTATCTCATCATGGCTTTGGTTTGCATTTTCCTGATGACTGATAACATTGAGCATCTTTTTTCTCTATCTTCTTTGGAGAAATATCTATTCAGATCCTTGACCATCTCAAAAATTGCTTTCTCTTATTACTGAGTGGTAACATTTTAAAAAATATGTTTTTAGGGGTGCCTGGGTGGCTCAGTGGGTTAAAGCCTCTGCCTTCGGCTCAGGTCATGGTCTCAGGGTCCTAGGATCAAGCCCCACATCGGGCTCTCTGCTCGGCGGGGAGCTTGCTTCTCCCGCTCTCTCTCTGCCTGCCTCCCTGCCTACTTGGGATCTCTGTCAAATAAATAAATAAAATCTTTTTTAAAAAATGTTTTGAATGCAAGTTCTTATCTGATGTATTATTTGCAAATATTTTCTCCCATTCTGTGGGTTGGTATACCTTTCTTCATCCTTTAACTTTCTTTTAACTCTAGGTCTTTAAGTGAATTTATTTATTTTTAATCTTAAAAGCTTTTGAAATGATTTTTAATATGAGGGTCTCTTTCAATTTGTGAGTTTAAGGCACTTATTTCATTTTCCACATGGTCAGAAGCAGTGACCAATGGTCACATTCCAATGGTCAAATTCACTTCTCTCCCTGGACATCTCCCTCCCTCATGTCCTCTTGCTCCAACCTGGACTGAATACTGTGGGCCTGCTGCAAAGCTGTTATCCTGCCACTATGTTGGGTTGGTGCCCTGATTCACAGTATCTCTTGTCTTCCTTGATTTACTCCTTTATTCTTTGTGGAGTACATCCTCCAGTATCCTTTTTCAAAAGCTAAACAGAAAGTAAAGTTTTAAACCTCACATGTTAGGGCAATTTGATCTATAGAATTATAGGTGAGAAAAGCAATTATCTCCTGAAATCCAAATTGTTAAATTCCTAGTGGCCAATGAGTGTGGTTAGCAATGGATATTCTGTTAGGGAAATAAATCTAGTTCCTCAGTTTCAGAAGGCAAGTAAGAAATATTTGCTTAGCAAGGGATGTCTCAAAAAAATTTACTGCCATTTGCTTCATGAGTTTGGAGAGCACAAGTTCAGATAGCAGGAAATTGTCCTCAGAAGTTGGAACTTTGATTCACCATCTTGTGTCATCCAGATTTGCTAATGAAGAGTCTAATTCACAGGTTTTCCTTATACCTAAGTGATTGCTTCCCCCCCTCCCTTTCTTTGGAAATTTTTAGAATTTTCTCTTTGTTCTTGGAGTTCTGACACTTCACAGTGCTATACCTTGGTGTGGATCTTTTTCATTATACTTGACACTCTGTTGGGCCTTTCGATCTGAAGACTGAAGTTCTGGGCATAGCGTCTAATGTTATTTCATTTTAATAATCCCTTCAACCTCCTTTACATTTTTTTTCACATTGTAAAAACTGATAATCTGATATTAGACCCTTATTTTATCTTCTGTGCCTTTAATCTTTTCTTTTACTTTCTCTCTTTTTGAGGTCTACTTTCAAAGGTATTTGCTTACCTACATCTTCTAACTCTTAATTACTTTTTGGGGGGTGGGGAGAGAGGGAGAGAGAAGGACAGAAGGGGCAGAAGGAGAAGGAGAGAAAGAACGCTCAGCATGGAGCCTGACACAGGGCTTGATCTCACACCTCTGAGATCATGGCCCTAGTCACAATCAAGCATCTGACATCCAACCTACCCACCCACCCAGGTGCCCTCTATTAATTACTTTTAAAGTTTAAACATTTTTGAAAGTTTTACTGTTTTTGTTTTTTTTTTAAAGATTTTATTTATTTATTTATTTGACAGAAATCACAAGTAGGCAGAGAGGCAGGCAGAGAGAGTGGGGGAAGCAGGCTCCCCACCGAGCAGAGAGCCCGATGCGGGGCTCGATCCCAGGACCCTGAGATCATGACCTGAGCCAAAGGCAGAGGCTTTAACCCCTGAGCCACCCAGGCGCCCCAAAGTTTTACTGTTTTTTTTTTTTTTTAAGATTTTATTTATTTATTTGACAGAGAGATCACAAGCAGGCAGAGAGGCAGGCAGAGAGAGAGGAGGAAGCAGGCTCCCCTAGAGAGCAGAGAGCCCGACGCGGGGCTCGATCCCAGGACCCTGAGATCACGACCTGAGCCGAAGGCAGCGGCCCAACCCACTGAGCCACCCAGGCCCAGTTTTACTGTTTTGATAACTGTTTCATTTCCTGTGTTGTTTTATAAATGCAGTGTCTCCAAGTCTTTTTATACAGCTTTTCTACTTACATAGTCAGCATTATCTCATATCCTAAGTATCTTAAAAACATGGTTTTTCATTTTTACATAGTGCTCCATCAAAAGATCAAAATGTACCAAAGATTTTAAGCAGCATGAGGCATTATCAAATCTGTGTTTCCTATGTTCAGCCTAGAAATAGTGGGAAGAATGAATTGGAGCAGATTAGAAAAAAGGGTCTGTAATCTAGGAGAAATGATGAAACTCTTATCTAAGGCAGTAGTGGAGGGGGGGTGTGGTAAATGCAAAAGAACAGCAGACAGATTCTGGGAGGTGGAGTGGCATAGGTCTTGGTGATTGACTAAATTAGAGAAAAGAAAAAAGTTCAGAATTAACCTCAGGTTTATGATTTGAACAAAAGCAAGGATAGGTGAATTTTTTCAAATAAGAATTACGTATTTTGAGGGGCACTTACTTGGGTGGCTCAGTTGGTTAAGCCTCCAACTGGATTTTGGCTCAGGTCATGATCTCAGGGTCATGAGATCAAGCCCTGCCTCAGGGTCCCCGCTCAGTAGAGATTTTCTCCTTTCCCTTCTACTCCTACTGTTCATGCTCTCACTCTAAAATAAACAAATCTTAAAAAAAAAATTATTTATTTTGAATATGCTTAACAGTGATTTAACTATTGTTCCCTCTCAAGTGAGTGAAGGTAAATCAAACCTACATGTACGTTGCACTGTGCTGTACGATATGATTTTCCCCTAGTGCTATGGTCTCAGTGATAAGTCATTAACATTTAAAGAGAAATGTACAAGGTTCTAAAATAATGTTTGTATTTTTCATGAGAATATTTTTAGTTCGAAAGATAAAAACATTTTAAAACATCTTTATAAATATTCTTATCTACAAAGATATTTTTATTTGTAATTAAACATAAGAAAACATACCAAACCTTTAGAGTGACCAAGTTTTTAAAAAATAGCTTATTTGTTTATTTGAGAGAGAGAAAGAGAGCACACGCATGAGTTAGGGAGAAGCAGAAGGAGAGGGATAAGCAGATGCTCCTCTGAGCACAGAGTATTGTGGAGCTCAATCTCATAACCCTGAGATTGTAACATGATACAAAATCGAGAGTCAGATGCTTAATCAACTGAGCCACCAGACACCCCAAGTGATCAACTTTTTAATTAAGATTCTTTGGAAAAATATTTAACAGTAAGGATGAAAAAACTGGCAGTAAACAAAAATTCAAGTTCAAAATTATGGCATCGTCCTTTCCCAGCAGCACCTCCTGCATGGCCCCTACTCCCCATGGGCACTTAAGTTTAAAATTATGGATGAAACACTATGAAAGAAAATTTTATCACAAGATAGTAGAATATTTTGAAATAAAAAGTCATTCTGCTATATAAATACTTTCATTTTTTGTATATTCCCTTTGAGTCTCAAAATAAGTTCTACAAGATAATTTCCTTTTCATCAGTGAAATATCTGTTTACCATTTAACTATTTAAAGATATAGATGCAAATAGGGGTGCCAGGGTGGCTCAGTCAGTTAAGCGTCTGACTCTTGATCTCAGCTCAGGGCACGATCTCAGGGTCGTGAGTTCAAGCCTTACACTGGGCTCCATACTCAGAGTGGAGCCTACTAAAAAAAAAAACTCCAAAACAAAAAACTATCTATCCAGATAGATGCAAATATATACTAAATATCTTTTTTTAAATAGATGCAAATCATTTTATTTCCAAAAAAAAAATCCTTAGTTCTACTTAGAATCATTAGAATATTTATATTTAAATACTGCAACTTAATTTATGTGTATTAAGCAAGTGGGAGCTCCTACAGAAAAGTCTGATTTGGTTTTATAAATAATGAAGATGATTTAAAATGTAAAAAAACTAAACTTAAAAAACGTATCTCAAACCACCTGATTTTTTAAAGTCACACCAGCCATCTACTTCTAAAAAGTCCTTATCAAAGCTATTTCTTTAAACCCAACATTTACTAACTCAACAGATGGGTTTTAAAAATGAGGAATGTAATTTTACTTTCAACTCACTGATTATATACTCAACTGGCAGCTTTAAAAAAAATAATTTTAGAATACATGTAAGACCTGAATTAAACCATTTTCAACATTTCTCCAGGACTGTTTGCTAACTGGCTTGTTTTTATATATGAGCTTTAAACATAGCTATCACAGGTAGTACACAAAAATAACTACTTGCAACTATAAAACCTCTCAAGTAAACTCCCAACATAACATCACTGCTTCTTCCTTCTCTTGTAAGAATCATTACTGTGAACTCGTACTCGCTGGGACACAGAGGATGCTATTTTCATGCTGTCTTTCTTTGTAAATGTCTTCTCTATTGGTCCGGGTTTCCAAAGTAACAACTGTGCATCTTCTCCTCCGGTTAGCAAAGAATCATCCTGCATATTCCAAGAGAAAGAACGGACTGTAGCAGCATGCCCTCCGTGAAGGGTGGTCACATGGCTCAACCCTGATGTAGTGCAGCTCATTAAGTGAATAATTCCTGTGTTTGTTCCTCCAACAACAAACAATTTGTCCATTTTTTCATGATATAGGCCACCAATTAAATAGTCCAAAATACCTTCTTTCAGATTAACCACTTCTCTGACATCTTGGATGTTCAAACATGTAATTGGTTCATCAGTATTCAGATGATTAAGATCCCACCAACAAAATCCTTCATCGTGTGTCATGCAGTAAATCTGTTTATAATCCTTTCCAGACCAACCAATACAGCTTACTGATGAAATGGAGTTACAGGTTGTAATCAGTGCATCTTCTTCATTATCCACACTAATATCGAATACATTTACCAGGCCATCAGTTGAACCTGAGACTAACATGTTGGGATTGTTGGGATGGAAGCACACTTGAGTGACATCATCACTATGAGTCTCTGAATATGCTCCAAGTGGGTCTTTAGTAGTAGACAAATCCTGAGAACTAAGTCTTGCGTCCCAAAATACCAACAAGGCATCATCGTCAACTTTTTCTGTACCAGCACAAATAACATGATCATTGCAGTTGATATCAAAACTAATAAAAATATTGGAAGGGTAACCTTTGAACAGCTGGACAGGTTTTTCACTGGCTAATCGAGCATCCCAACACTTTACGGTGCCATCGCTACATGATGAATATACACTGTCATGAGAACTTGCAAATCGGACTCCACTCAGAAGTCCAGGATATCCACTAAATTCTCGTAGTACATATAACCTTTCTTTATCATATATTCTGATTGATCCATTAGAACATAAAACAGCAACCAAGTTTTCTTTTTCTGCTTGTACAGCTTTTGATGTGTCTATACCAAGCAAATAAGTAGGCTCTTTAGTTTCCGAGGAACGTTTAACAATGCTCAGATTAGCAAATTGTTCCTCGATCTTCTCCATGTCAGGAGTAGCATCCAAGCGTAGTAAAAATCTGTAATAAAAATACAAAAATTAAAATTAAACGCAAAGCTTCTCCAAAATTATAATCAAGTCAAGAACACTTTCCTCTGAGGACTGGCACAAAATAACAGAAATAAAGTCTATTCTAATATTTTAATCGTTCCCTGCCATGATATAACTAGAACTTGGTTGCATCCCTCTAATTCAATCACTTTTTATTAAGATTTTATTTATTTATTTGACAGAGATCACAATCAGGCAGAGAGGCAGGCAGACAGAGAGAGAGAGAGGAGGAAGCAGGCTCTCCGCTGAGCAGAAAGCCCGATATGGGGCTCGATCCCCGGACTCTGGGACCATGACCCAAGCCGAAGGCAGAGGCTTTAACCCACTGAGCCACTCAGGCGCCCCTAATTCAATCACTCTTGAATACTCAATCTACCATATATACCTTATGTCAGTAAGAGAATTTTAAAACATGTACATATACTGCTCAGTAGTTCCTTTTAGCTTACACCCAACCTTTGGTCCAACTCATAATTCTCAGCATTAGCCAGAATGCTGGCTTCTCCTGGCCCCAGCTGCCTGAGGCAACTTTTAGAATTTAAACGCAGGTGGATGGGTGAGCCGGGTGGTAGGTATTAATGAGGGCACATACTGCATAGGGCCCTGGGTGTTATATGTAAACAATGAATCTTGGAACACTACATCAAAAATTAATGATGTACTGTATGGTGACTAACTTAACATTAAAAAACAAAAGAATTTAAACGCAGATGTGCAGAAAAATGGTCCCCCAAGATATCTATGCCTTAACGCTTGGAACCTGCGAATGTTAGGTTACATGGCAAAGAATTGAGGTAGCTGATCATTTGATCTTTAAAAAAATTTTTTTATTATTGATGTATAGTCGACACACGTTACATTAATTTCAGGTGTACAACATAGTGATTCCACAAGTCTGTGTTATATTATTCTCATCACAAGTGTAGCTACCATCTGTCACCATACAATACTATCAGAATATCACTGACTATATTCCCTATGCTGTACTTTTTACCTCTATCATTTATTCATTCCATAACTGGAAGCCTGTATTTCCCACTCCCCTCCATCCATTTTGCCCATCCCCCCCACATCCCTCCCCTCTGGCAGCCAAGAGTTTGTTCTGTATATTTGTGTCTGTATCAGCTTTTTATTTTTCAAGTGCCACATCTAAGGGAAATCGAACAGTATTTGTCTTTCTCTGTGTGACCTATTTCACTTAGCATAATACCCTCTAGGTCCATCCATGTTGTCATGAATGACAAGATCTCATTTTTTTTTTTTTTTTGTGGCTAATAGTCCTCTGTGTGTGTGTGTACATGACCTCTTTATCCATTTATTTATCCATGAACACTTAATTGCTTCTGTATCTTGGCTATTGTAAATAATGCTGTAACAAACATAGGGGTGCATGTATCTTTTTGAATGAAGTGTTTTCATTTGAATGAAGTGTTTTCATTTTCTTCGAATAAATACCCAGTAATAGAATTACTGGGTCATATTATACTTCTAATTTTTCAAGGAACTTCCATACTATTTCCTACAGTGGCTGTACCAATTTACATTCTCACAAGGGGTGCATGAGGGTTCCTTTTTCTCCATCTCCTCACCAACACTTGTTATTCTTTGTCTTTTTGAATCTGGCCATTCTGGCAGATTTAAGGTAATAGCTCATTGTGGTTTTTGATCATCCCTGATGATGAGTGATACTGAACACCTTTTCCTGTATCTGTTTGCCATCTGTATGTCTTTGCAAAAATGCCTACTCAGGTCCTCTGCCCACCTTAATTGGATTATTGGGGTTTTGTGTCGAGTTGTGCTTATCAGTTGATCTTAAAATAGGAAGATTATTCGGATTATCTGGCTGGGTCCAGTGTAATCACCATTGTTCTTAAAAGTAGGAGGAGGCAGAACATGATGCGAGTCAGAGAGAGATATTACTATGGAAGAAGGGCACAGAAAAATATATTGTTGGTTTAGGGGAAGAAGGTCTTTAAGTGGGTGGCCTGTAGAAACTGGAAAAGGCAAAGAATCGTCCCCATTTAGATTCTCCAGATGGAAATGCAGCCCTGCCAACACCTTGATTTTCACCCAGTGAGACCTATTTTGGACTTTTGACCCCTCAGAATTGTAATAAATTTGTATTTTTTTCAAGCCACCAAGTTTGTAGTAATCCATTACAGCAAATAGGAAACTAATACATAGGGGTTCCCAATATGAAATTCTGGAGAAGTGGTTCTCAGGCAGTAGTAACTTATAAATGATGGAGCTGGAATGTGACCCTAGGCATTCTGGCTGCAAGGACTGTGCTATTCACCACCACACCATATTGCCCTCCATTTTTTTTCTCTTAAAATATTTCATTTTGGGGGCTCCTGGGTGGCTCAGTGTTGATTAAGCATCTGCCTTCAACTCAGGTCATGATCCCAGGGTCCTGGGATCAAGTCCCACATTGGTCTCTCAGGTCAGCAGCAGCCTGCTTCTCCCTCTCCCTCTGCCCGCCGCTCCCCCTGCTTGTGCTTTCTCTCTCTGTGTCAAATAAATAAAATCTTTAAAAAAAAATTTTTTTTTTAATTTTTAAGGAATCTCTACACCCTAGGTGGGGCTTGAACTTAGAAGTTCCTTAATGGTAGAACAAGTTCAAAGCCAGAAAAACTTGCATGCCTAGTGACTTTATCACAAATTTCCTATCTTGCTTTTACCAAATAAATAGTCTACCTCACAAATTCACTTTTTCATTCTTATAATGAAATGGTTTTTTTGTTGTTGCTTTAATGATATCTTTTTTTTTTTTAAGATTTTATTTATTTATTTGACAGAGAGAGATCACAAGTAGGCAGAGAGGCAGGCAGAGAGAGAGGGGGAAGCAGGCTCCCCGTGAGCAGAGAGCCTGATGTGGGACTCGATCCCAGAACCCTGAGATCATGACCTGAGCTGAAGGCAGAGGCTTAACCCACTGAGCCACCCAGGCGCCCCTAATGATATCTTTTTAACCGTCTGTCTTTTCATCTTTAAAAGAAGAAATGAGTACCAACTCAAGAGTTGTTAGAAGAATCAACTAAAATAATGTGTTTAGCACAACACCTGGCAAATAAAATACATATTCAACAGATGTTATATAAAAATTATCAGTATTACCACTACCAATACCACTAACATTATATTAGAGGCAGGGTGAGTTTGGATCTAGGTATTGTTACTCAGACTTCAGTGTCACCTGCCTAGAAAGATCCTCCCTAGTCAACCGATCTAAAATAGTCCCTGTTACTTCCTATCATATTGCTTGTTTTATCAATTTAAAAATTAAAAATGCCTAATTATAAAATATTTCAAATATTCAAAGCTTAGAAAAAAGTGTAACAGACACCCAAATATAGACAGTCAGATACTCAGATTTAACAGATGTTAACATTTTACCATACTGGTTTGTTTTTTATTTAAAGAAACATTACAGACACAACTGCTCTGAATTTATAACATGGCATTGCATTTGTATGTCTTCTTTGCATTTGCTCATTTTTGAAAAACCCTATTTTGCTGTTGAAGTTCTTATTCTTTCTTACTTATCTAGTATCAATAAATAATTGTTGAATAAATGAATAATTGATTCAACTTTCTTGCTCTTGTTCTAGGAGAAACAGAATAAACCTAAAAGGATATTGCATGTGTTATGTGTTTGCAGGGGGAGCTCTGCTCATGGAAATTAGTAAAATAATGGGATTCTTTAACAGTACTTTAAATAGGGCATGGAAAGCAACTACAGAGAAAGATTTTATATTGTAAAGAAAAATATTATTTAACTTTTTTTTTTTTTTTTTTACCACAAGCTATTCAAATTATTCTTCAAATGTGTATTTACTTAAGAGTGTACTTCCTAGGGGCACCTGTGTGGCTCAGCTGGTTAAGCGTTGGCCTTCGGCTCAGGTCATGATCTCAGGGTCCTGGGATTGGGCCCCACATTGGGCTCTCTGCTCAACGGGGAACCTGTTCCCCCCACCCCCTCAACCCCCGACCTGTCTCCCTGCCTACTTGTGATCTCTCTCTCTGTCAAAAAATAAATAAAATCTTAAAAAAAAAAAGAGTGTATTTCCTATACCCCCAAGGAGAAACCCTTTTAAAATTCCAAATAAAAACTATCCATTCTTGAAATATTCCAAGAATTAATATGAGGTTATAAAATAAATAATTTTTTCTACTGCTTCATTTTGATTTTTGCATATGAAAGGTCAGGTTGATGGAAATTTTAAACAATCAAGTTTAATGTGGCTTTAAAGCTAATAGTAATTTGTAGGACTATGACCATGCACTCAAGCAGGATAGTAGTACAGCACTCCCTCCCTCCACTACATTGCCTGGAGAGTCTGTTTCATATTGGAACAGTACCCTGAATGGCTTCAATTCAAAGGATTCTAGGGGTTGATGGGTCAGGAAGGGTAGGCCCCAGACTGAATGCTACAGCAAACTTAACACTTCAAGACTGTGGAGATGGGGGCACCGGGGTGGCTCAGTCGGCTAAGCGTCTGCCTTCAGCTGTCATTGTCTCAGGGTCCTGGGATCAAGCCCTGCATCGGGTTCCTTGCTCAGCAGGGAGTCTGCTTCTCCCTCTTCTACTCCCTGTGCTTGTGTTCCCTCTCTTGCTGTGTCTCTCTCTTTCTGTCAAATAAGTAAATAAATACATAAATCTATCTTTTAAAAAAAAAGATTGTAGAGATGGTAACAATCACAGTGGTTGTCCACTTGACACACTATTCAAATGCAATATAGTTTCTCAAGAAAGAAGAACTAAAGGATGGATGGGTGGGTGGATGGATGGATGGAAGGAAGGAAGGAAAGGGAGAGAGAGAGAGAAAACAAAAAGGAAGAAGGGTATTAGAGGTAAGGTAGGTATATTTCACAAAGCCCTCAAGCTATAGAGCTTACAGAGTACACAGATACAGTGAAATAATTTGATCTCTTACAAAGAAACATGAAAATCTCTAGCTTATGTTT